ATTTGGAAATGAAGGATTGTAATTATATATAACTAAACCACACAAATAAAAAAGATTGTAATAAATAAAGGTAGAACTAAAATATCAATTTTTGTACAATGATTACTAATTTATAATATAAACTGAAACAGCCAACAAATAATAATTTTAATCAAAACAATCAAATTCTTAAAACAAGAATTTATTAATAATAAACTATTTTTTAGAAATTATTTCTAGCTTAGACTTTATTTCCAAAGCAGTTCTTTTGGTAATAAATAAATCATTCATCTTTTTTGTGATATCAGCGATTTTTGTTTTACTTTTCGACAAAAGAGTATTAAGTCGCTTTAGACTTTTTATTTCTTCTTCTTTCCATTCAGATTCCACTGGCTTTCTACGTTTAATCCTTGGATCTTTTTTTAACGCCAATTTTACTAATTCCCGAATTCTGTGCATATCCTGTGTTTTTTTCTTTAAATTCATTTCTTTGTTTTTTGCCATATTGTATCTTCTGTTTGATCCACTCTGGTTGAAAATATCTTCTGGATTGTCAAATATCCGATTGCTCTTAAAATTTCTCCAAAAGTTATAAAATGTCTCAATATCCCCTGTTAGTTCTGGGACGGGTTGAATCTCACTAAAAATACCATTTCGTGCAAATACCTCCGAAAAAATACGAAAAAATTCATCGAAAGAGTAATCTTTATCTTCTGGAATAGATTCATCCAGAAAAGCAGAATCGTAAACTTTTCTTTTTGAATGAACTTTTAATACTTCCTGTGCTTTTTTTATTATTAAAAATGCTTCTTGTCTTCCTTGACATTTCACAGGATGATAAACCGGCAGTTTTCGTTTCACACAGTAATCAATCATATATTCTGGAATATCCTGGCCTTTAAAATTTTCTAAATCAATAGCCTCATATAAATCCACCTTTAGCCAGTTATTCAACTCTTCTTTTGTATATTTGCTATATAAATTCCGTGAATTTTTAGTTCTCGTCTGTCTTTCCAATTCTTCTCCCGTAGGTGGAACATAAAGCACAATCCTATTTTCGGCACCCATAGCGGTAAAAATTTTCTAAAAATACAATATAGAGTCAAATTAGTAAAGTGGTAAATTTTATTAAATTGGAAATTATTTCATAGCCCATTATGCTGCACATTTACTATTCTCTTTTTCATATAATTTTTTTAATTAAGTAGTAAATAATAGTCTGGAACAAACTGAAATAAGATAAATAATGTGAATATAATAGCTTTTAAGATTTTGTTATCTGAAAAGTAATAGGGGATATTCTTACATTAGAGTTTATTTAAAAGATTTAATTGTACATAAATGTAAAAGCTTCATATATATGAAATCTCTAATGGTTTTAAATACATGTGAAACATTATCATATTTTCATACCAAGTTATAATTTATTGTATAAAGTTGAGATTTATCTGGAAATTGAAACAAGAGGTCTTGGAAGAGATTGTAGTATCCATTAAAATAATATCGAATTTTTCCAAACTAAAGCTATATATTTCATAATAAGGCTATAATCTAGTGAATTATAGATCAATCTAGCATCTAACATGCAGGTATATCTTAAACTAGTAGCTAATTTTCTCTGTTTATTACGACAGTAACTGGGTGAGAAATATTTAATGTTTCATATTCCTCAATCAGCAAATAAAATATTTTTGTATTGGTTACCAATAGTTTTATAAAGTTTTGATCAATTATGAACTTTAAGGGGTAAAACGAAATAAACTAGAATTCATATTTTAGTTCAATGGGATTCTTTAGCAGAAGTGGAATAGAAAAATCTTCTATATCTGAAAGTGAATCAGGTTATCCACTCCGTACACATAAAAAAGTTCTATGCACAAAAAAACATTGTACCGATGCATGTACTAAAACTTGCGATATTTATAAATATTGGGCTATTTTTTTGGCAGAAAACAAGATAAACCAAGAGGAGTTCTTCAGAAATATAATTCATTTACCTGAAAGACTAAGAATTGCAGTGTACTTAAAATGTGTGGGGAAGATGCTCTATTTAGAACCTGGAGAGTATACAAATTATTTGAAAAGTTGTAAACAACAGATCAGCTCAGAAAAGGATATCAAGCTAGATTTCAATGATCTAAACTTGGATAAGTCGATAAAAGAAAAGTCTTTAAAGGATAACAAAGTCACAGACGGTGCAGAGTTAGAAATTGACAAAGATGTATTGGATCAAATAGAATCAGATCGATTGTTGGTTGATCAAATATTTAAGCTATGCTCGAAGTTTCAATTTTATGATGAGGGAATCATCTTCGATATTTATAAAAAACTTGGAAAAGATTTTAAAGTCAATGAATGTACCTTGAAATTAATATTTTCATTCCTTAAGATGGAAAATTCTACAACTGATTCAGTTTATATTATAAATTAGTAATCATTGTACAAAAATTGATATTTTAGTTCTACCTTTATTTATTACAATCTTTTTTATTTGTGTGGTTTAGTTATATATAATTACAATCCTTCATTTCCAAATTCTACATAATACTGGAAGTTTGATTGTGTTACTTTAAATATTTAAACTATTTTATACATATTCTATTAGGTATGTCAGTAGTCTATTATGTGTGGCATAAATTATCACATTTACTCCTTAAAGTTATTAATAACCCTATAAACCATACCCCTATTAATGAGCGAGAATCAAATGAAATATATAAAGAAATCTGATATAATGAGTATCCCAAAATTAAAGATGAATCCAATAGCCAATGTTTTGGTCAAAAAATATTCTATTGATTCAAAGATTTTTTTAGATGATCTCTTAAACGATCTAACTAAATTTATGAATTCAAACAACTTAGATGAAAAGCTACAATTTATTTTTGATATTTATGATGTAGACTCTGATGGGATGATATCAAGTAATGAACTTTTTGAGTTATTAAAACAATTAAATTCTAATGAGATGGAAAATTGGAAATTACAAAATATAGTAGATAAAACATTTGCTGAAATTGAAGAATACACAACACAGATAAATTTTGAACAATTTAAGTTGATTATCAAAAAAAGAAGTCAGCATTTGAAAAAAATATTTGACTGTGTTGAATAGATTTTAACCGCTGCATACAATAAAAAATTTTATGGATGAAAAATTGGTTTAATTTTTACAAATTAATAAAAATGGGGTTTCCAGGGATTGAACCCGGGACCTACAGAGCTTCAGTCTGGTGCTCTCCCACTGAGCTAAAACCCCATACGGTTTGAACTTATGGGCTTGAAAAATAGCTCTTTAAACTTTTACAAATTCATTAAAACTATGCAATAACTTATTCGTTTACTAGAATAAATTGAATTTTTTAATTCTCTTGATTTACGATCCCTTATGAAATTTATTCAAATGTCAAGTCTCTTACAAACAAATTCTCTTTTTAAGAAATTGGCTGAAATGGAACCTGGAAAAGAAGTAGAAATATCGGCATATTCCTGTAAATCAACTAAATTTGATAAAAAAAATATCAAGTTGCCGAAGCCTTTGAGATTTTTTATTTCTATACTTGAAATGGAATTCATTAATTCAGATTTTTCTGCAGTAACAATGAAAGACTTTAAGACAGTTTCGCTAAATACAGTCTTATCAGATATTTCATACATGATATTTCTTCTTTCCAAGAATTCGACAGATACATGCGAGTATATTGAATACTTTAAGAATCTTCTTGAATGGTGTGTAAAAACAAAAAATTCCATTATTTATAAATATGGAACTCAAAATTTCACGATGTATCTAGTTTACGATAAAATACAAAGAAAAGTAATTTTAATTAAGGTGAAACAGGATGGTGGAATAAATGTAGAATAAAGCTTGTAAAGTATAATACACAAAGAAATTGTATATATAACAGTAGGAGTTGAGAATCTTTTTTTAAAATAAAAAATGAAGAGTAACCACCTTTCAGGAATTAGAGTAAGCCCATAGCCTCTCCCAACTAATAGTAACACCATGGTTTTTCGATTAAGCATATTATCCTCAAAAAAGAATAGTTTATTGAACACTAAAGTGACAAATACACCTGGAATATAGTATTTTTAAAGTGAACTATTATTTCAATCCATAGAACTGTTTTCTAATTTCCTCCAACTCCATTCTAACCTTTCGAATAGCTGCTGAATTTGTTTCAGGATTTTGTTGATTGTCAATGCGTAAGATGATTCTCTCCATTCTATCTTGGATTTCTTTTCTCTTATAACTGTTATGCATTGTTTTTGCAAGAATTTTGGAAAGCTCTAACTCCATATCTGGGTTATTGGTAGCCGAGAATGTTTAATTTCTAAGAATCTTATTAGCAAGTCATAAATAAAGAGAGTTTGGGATTGGAAAACAGTTCTTAAAAGCTAATGATTGTAAGAAGTTATAAATGTTCAAAATACACTTTAAAACATAAAATTAAGCCAAATTTATTCATCAGCTGCCACTACGGCATCTTTCAAATTCTTGAATGAGCTAACTTCAACTAGTGAAACTCTCAGACATCTCTGTTCTGGATTTGACAAGCAATTCGCCTTCTCAACACGCACTCTAATTCGACCCATGGCTCCAAAATTACCACGACTCCAAATCTTCTTGTTAAGATCTTCAGAAATATAAACTGGAATATCAGTCTTCCATTGCTTAGCAATAAACTTTTTTAAATTGTGAACAACACCAGAAGCTTTCTTGTTTTTTTTACAAGGAAGCGCAAGACGACGGGCATTGACTGTTATTTCTGTAACTTTATTATTTGAAAGGGAATCCATATGGGCTAAAAATTTTTGTGAAAAAAACCGAAGCTTTTATCCTTCACGGATTAAAATAGTAAAGCTTAGATTCTATAAATATACCGCTAGCTTAATAGTGAAAAATTAGATCTTGTTCTTATACTACCATCATTGCATATACTTTATTGGTTAAAGGGATGTTATTCGACGATAGTTTGTCTAAAAAATTTATTGATCTTTTTTGGATCTTTCATTTTCTTTAACTTCTATGTGGTTTTAAAATTACTTTGTGTAATAAAATCGGTGACTTGAAAAGGATGCTTTTCATCGATCTGTGTTATCCATATTTATTTAATAGTGACTTCAAAATAGCAAATGTATATAATTTGTTTAATCCTATAACGAAATATACCTGAGATATTTCACAAAGTAAATGCTCATTGATTATGCTCTTTATGGTAACTACTGGATGGGGTTAATTATCTTTTACTACCTATTTATGTTCCTTATGTTTGTTCTTAATACCTCTTATCTGAGTTCATAATATTATAAACTGTGGTACATTACTCTTACTTGATATTGATAAATGGCTTATTATAGGTCAGCTGTTATATAAACTCAAATATATTGATCTTACAATCATTCTAATTTCTGAACTTTACCCTTGTATTAATCACCAATCTATCTATAATTCTAACAGTTATTACAATTGTAAACTATAAATTATATTTGTTTTTAATAATAATTTACCATTTATGTTATCAATTCTCAAAACAAGTCTCAACTTTTCAAAAATTGTTCTTGGAACTACACTGATGTACCTACCTGGTATATTTAGTAGAAATGGATATATTACCACTACGGTAATTGTTGTGCTTTTGGGAGGTGTGTTTAGTACAATTACACAGTATCTTTTATTTGAAGTTTATTCTAGAAGAAGAGCTGAAAAAAGCAATAAATCTGTAGATCCTACCAATAATGGTATGGTATCGAAAAATAAACTATCTAATAAAGACGATACAATGGGTAATGATTTGTTCGAATCAGAATCCATCTCAAATCCAGATATCGGCTTAAATTCTATAGGAGATTTTGAATGGTTATCATTTGAGTTATTTGGTAAGTATATGTATGCTTATACATATGTTGCTATTTTCTTAGTCTCTTTAGTATGCATTCTTTATTATATAGAAATGATATTAAAAATGCAGGATATTTGTAAAGTTTCGAACAAAAAAGTTATTCTAATGGTTTTGTTAATATTTATAAATTTATTCTTTAATAAATTTAATCAGCTTGAATTTGCTAACTATATAGGATTATGTGTCGTATTCATCCTAGCATGTACAACATTCATAGAATGCTTGAAGAATCCTCAAAATGTAATCCACCAATTTGTAGAAAATGACAATATTCTTTCTGACATTAGCCTTATTGCATTATCTTTTTGCTCTCATTATTGTATAGTCTTACCTAATTGGTTACTAGGTTTAAAGCATGATTTAAAAGCGAACTCTAATAGAACTCTCAACGTTATCACACTGTTGATTTCCTGTTTTATTAGTATTTTTACATATATTTTCATTGGTTATACAGGATATAGAGCTTACCCTGCTTGTGGATTGATGTGGATAGAGTCTATTTCTGGTCCACATAAACAGATTCTTGCAATAGTTTTTATTGCGATTACACTCCTAGGGTTTCCACTATGTTTTATTGATTTAAGAGTTCGATTTGAACAAATATGTGGGAATTTTATAGGTTTTTTTGAGATAAAGCAGAGGTTATCGAATTTGAAAAGTTCTAATGAAGCCAGCCAAAATTGTGATGAACAAGAAATGAATATTGATATAGACGGCGTAGTAGAAAACATCCAAGCTGCAGAAATTAGTGAAAATGTGATAAAATCCAGAAAAAATCTAGTAGATCAGAAATTAAAGCCTGATACTGCCTCAACCCTGGCAAATAATTCATTGGATACTAATGATATGGCTAACAAGTACGATATAGAACCTCCACTTACTTCTTCTATCCATAGGTCTTCCGTACCTCCTACTGCTACATTTTTAATGTCGCTTTTGGTCTTTACTTTAAGAGTGATTGTGTTAACTACAATAGTAGTCGTTGTTCACCACTATTTAATCCATTCTAAATTTATATCACCACTAGTTTCATTTATTTGTAGCACAATCATGTTTTATATTCCCTCTGTCATGTATTTGAAGGTCTTTGGGCTAAAAAAATTTGAATCATTCTTATGTTTCATTTCTATGATTTTTGGAGGATTATTGTGTTACAAAGCAATAAAGGACTTAGTCCAATAAAATAAATATGGCAAATTAATATCTTATTTTAACTAAGTTATAACTTTTCATATGCAAAATCACTCATTTCCCATTCTTTATCCCTCTTAATAAATTCTCCAGTACATGAATAATTTTTTTCAATAAAATCCTTATTCCATATTCCTCCAGCAGCTAGTTCTAAATATATTGTAACTTCAAACGAAATTACAATTGTTTTTCTAAGATTTTTCATTAAAATCTGTTCAACTTTAATATTTCTTAAATCTGCAATTTTAGAAAATATTAGGAAATTCTTGTTTAATTTGCTTGATTTGTGTGGAGTCTCTAATATTTTATTATGCTTTCCTTTAAATTCCTCTATCATTAAATTTCTCCATTTTTTTAAATTTTCTACTCTACAATCCTCATAATTAAAACAACTAGCAAGTGTTTTGGGCAATATAATATCCTCTATATGCTTCAGTTTAAAGTAATCTGTAATCTGTCTATTTCCTATAGATAGGTTATTTTTTGAAAATATTTTAATCGGATTAAAATTTACAAAAAACTTATTGAAAATATTTTGTGTTCCTTGAATGATTTTTTCTCCAAAAGACGTAGTTTTATTATCAATTAGACCATTTTCATTTAGATTATATTCTTGGTTAAAATATGTTTTTTTATATACTCTACCACAACTAAATCCTTCTAAATCCAAGTCCAAAATTGAGCTTAACTTCTTACGAATTTTATCAATTTTAGAACTGATCTGATCGACTTCCATTTTCAATCGTGGCTTTTTATATATTTCCTCTTTAATATTTTTAATGAATTGCTGAGTAAAGTTGTTTATTTTTGGCAACACTTTAAATGGGATTGAAAAGAAATTGAAAATAAAGAATGAAAAATAAGAAATAATCATTGGTATTGACTTGAAAAAGTGTTAAATTTATACCTTAAAAACTTAGATATGTAATGGAAGCATTTTTTATGTTATCATTGTTATAGGATCATCGATATGTATTCTCTTATTTATTGCTATGTAAGTAATTAATGAAAGTTAAATGATCTAAAATAGTGATAGCAAGTTTTTAAGGGTTGTCCAAAATAATAAATTACAAAACTTAAAAAGTGTTTAATAAAAATGGAAAAATTGGATTATTCTTATTTGGATAATAGAGTAGATAATCATGCAATACTTTTTCAGTACATTGTCGAATGGCTTCCACTTACGATACACATTTTAAAGAATATAAAATAAGGTAAATAATAAGATAGCATGGTAATACATAGCTCCAAATATCCTTTTCTTGGCTTTATTTTGACTGCAATAATAAAAAATTCAATCTTAGAATTCTTTTAAACCTACTTTTATTTAATCCTTCTATTCATGATTAATTCAGATGAGATTTCTTTTGTACGAAATTCCATTCCAAATCGAATGGATTTGCGCACTTTAAACAGTTCTAGACCCATTTCTATTATGGACACCAGAAATGTCCAAGCGGAGGCATCAGTTTCTGTAACTAATCTTGAAACGGAGATAGAAGTATCACTAAAAATTAGAAAAATTAATGAAGAAAGTAGCTATGTTATATTTGATGGTACAGATAATAATCTTGGAATAGAATTTAGTCAAAGTGTTTATGAGCATGTACCAAATATTCTAAATATTCTGCAAAGTATTATTTCAAATACTTCACATACTAATTTTATGAATGTATACATTGAGCTTTTAATTGTTCAAAACTCAGGAAATATTTTTGATTTATTTTTTAAGGGACTTCAAACCATTTTCGGAAAAGTTCCACCTCTTAAGAGTTATCGATTTAGAGAAATAAAATCTTTTGGAATTTTAGGTGAATTCTTGTTGACTGATCCAAATTTATTAGAAGAAAATGCATCAGATGGACTATTAAGGATTATTGATATTAAAAATGATTGGC